CTTTAGGTAACTACAATGGAGCTCAATAGTGAAAAGTTCAGGAAAAAATAATGAATTCTCAAATACATATTCATAGAAGGGGGAAAAATGGCAAGAACTAATCTATGATCATCTCCAAAAACTAGGAAGAGAATTGTTGAATTAAGTATAAGAAATAAGTGGCTCATAGAGCTGAAGAATTAGGATAGAGTAATTAGGTAGTTACTCATATCATATGTTTCCTATGACATTAACTGCATCTAACAACATTGATATAACAATGAAATCAATATGACATTTTTTACATTATGTGGCCTATCTGTTACTAGATTATGGACAGAACTTAACACCATATCATCAAGAAAAAAATGTACACAGCCTGCTTTGTTCAAATAACTGGCTTTTGAGAGCCACTCTGTTCTTGTATTAATATTTGTAAATTGTACTGCACTTTAATTTGTGCCTATGACACCTAAGTTCATTTTAGGATTTATTTACCTTAAGTGGGTGGTAAAAGATCATAAAAATATAGAAGAAATGCTTTGCTAATGATAATGCTGCTCTTGAGGGAAAAAAGCCAGTGAATGAGCACACAGCTAAATGCCGAGTCTTTTAAAGAAACAAATGGAAATGTGATATTAGCTGAACTATTTACTAAGCTTTAAAAAATGGACAAGCCTGGTGTGGTAACACACACCTGTGATCTCAGCAGTTAGGAAGTTGAGGTAGGAGGACTGCTGTGAGGTTTAGGCCAGCCTGGGCTACAAAGTGAGTTCAAGACCAACCCTGGGCCAGCGAGGTAGCTCAGCAGTCTAAAGTGCTTAGGCAACCACAGGGACCGCGGTTTGATCCTGGCACCACATACCGTACCAGCCCCGCCCCCAGGGCAGGCTGAGCCTGCTACCCACACACACACAAAAATTTACTGTTCTGGGAAAAGGATGAAAACACATTACTAGGAACTTATAGTTTATTGCATCTCTCTGGGTAAAGAGCCCTAGACAAATAAATTTGACTTTTATGCAGTTATTGACAGCCTCCAAGTCATAAATGTTACGAGAATAACGGACCTAAATAAAATTATATGAATATAGGTGGATCTGAGTAAACACACACATTCACCATTAAGTGGCTGACATAGACTACCAATGAATATTTACTACCAGTACACACAATATATCAGTATAAGGAGATGATAAATATTAAACAAAGTGATTTACTTTCTTTTCTTTTTTTTTTTTTTTTTTTAAACTAGTTGGATGTTTCTGTTTGTTTGTTTTTGAGATAGGGTCTTACTACATAGTTCAGGTTGGCCTTGAACTCACTATGTAGCCCAGGTTGACCTCAAACTCACAGTGATCTTAACCACCACAGCCTCCTGAACACTGGGATTTGCGCTACCACACCCGGCACTTTCCTCTTGACAGTCATTAGGTCTAATATTGGGCAAACCTATGAACATGAAAAGTGAAACAGAGTGAGATTATTCTATGCCAGACCAAAGATTGGGGAGAGTTTATTTAATAAGGCTAGCCACTGAGCGCCTCCCAATTAACAAGTCAGGAAATGTAGACCCCTTTCTTTCTTTATCTCGGTTTAAATACCTTTCTTCTTTCTAGGGCAACCACAATGGAATGCTGCCATTATTGACTCAGGTGGTCATGGACTTTTACTGTGGTAGCTCAGGGGCTGGTCACAGTAATTTATGATGACATATGGTATAACACACTTCTTGCAATTAGTTCTGTTTACTCTCTTTTATCTCTTTTATGTTTACAATATCTTAACAAGTATGGGAAAGGAGTCTGACAGTCCAGGCAGGGTCATGAAGAGTTGACTCTGCATTAGTGTCATCTATTTCTAAGATAGATTACAGGCTAAAATGAAGCTATTTTGGCCAGGATAAATTAACGCATTGAGAGCTGCCATCCTCTACAAAACAATGATTTTGTTCCCAAATTTAACACATACCCACAAAAGGTAAAGTTATTAGATAAATATTGAGGTGATTAAAAATATATAATTCTCCAAACATTAAATTGTAGAATTATCATGTGATCTAGCAATTCCACTTCTGGCTATGTACTCAAAAGAACTGAAAGCATGTACTCAAATATTTATTAGCAAGTGTTTATAGCAGCAGTATTCACAATAACCAGAAGCTGAAAGCAAACCAAATGTCCACTGACAGATGAGTGGATAAAAAAACTATGGTACTCACATACAGTGGAACATTATTCTACCACAAAAAGGCCAGGAAGTGGCTGGGCATGAGGACACACACCTGTAATCCCAGCATTCAGGAGGCCAATGCAGAACTGCTTTGAGTTCAAGGCCAGCCTAAAGTATACAGCAAAGTGTCTAAAAAAAGACCAGAAGAGGGGGGGAGTTCTGACACTGCTACAATGAGTGCAGTGCGCTAAGTGAAATCAACCAGTCACAAATAGACAAATATGTGCTTCTAAATCTACGATGAACCTAGAGAAGCCAAATCCATAAAGACAAAAGTAAAATGCTGATTCCACGGTGGGTGCACTAATCTCTACATTTAAAAATATAATGCTGAGTGGGACTGTCCTGCTTCAAGGTTGTATATGGTGAGATTTTTCGACTTACGTGTAAACATAAGAAGTATATAATTATTTATGCCTATTATTAAAATATATTCTAATTTTTAAATGTTTTTTACAATATTCTGTAGGGACTTAAAGTTCAACATATCAATACTTGATGAAAAATACCTGTTCCATATTATGCCTAACATGTTTGATATTCAGACAGATAGTGAGGTTAAGCTTAACAGCCTAAGTTGTATGGTAATAACAATAAGCTTGTCTTCTGGATGGTTAACAACCTAAGTTTGCAGACCAAAATTAGATGAAAAGGAGGGCTGCAAGGAAAGCCAACATTTTGGCCCTAGCCTTCCAGGGTCAATTAAGACTGAGGACATATGAGAACTTGTACTGAAATGTCATGTAACTCGGTAGTATCCCAAATTTTCTGATCAAGGAGATTATGGGGCCAAAGAGGAAAGTGATCAATGATGTAGAGTGTGCCTAAGGAGAGTCACATGGGGAGAAGACACTCTCTCAGGCTTTCACAGAGAGCACATTGGCCAAGCAATGGCCATGACTCATCCACATGCCTGACACAGACAAACAATCTGAGGTACAGGATCTCAGGATAAATCCTGAGGGCATTCCATGGACCTTATCAGACCCAAAAGCTACATCTCTTGTTGCATAGGTCCTGCTTTACCTTGGTCTTAACCACCAGCAGAAAAGTATAAAAACGAAATATAAGTAAAGTCATGCTGTTATGTTGAGCTGTAGGGAACTCAGGTCAACAATTTCTGACATTGCCAGTCAGGCGGAAGACCCAATACTATTATGGACTACTGAACTCTTTTAGATTATTTTGCTGAATTAACACACCTCTAATATTCAAATAACGGAACTTAACAAAAAAAGGGTATACAGATAAATGTTCATTTTGTATCTGTGTATTCAAAGTGGTTAGGATAGATATATAGTTACATTCTCTTAATGAATAGAGGGATTTGTTCTAATAGTGTTTGTAGATAGGCTATCATGTCCGCATCTTGTACAGCAATTAACCACTGGGAGGAATGTATGCAATGTGTTAATTATTGAAACTGTCCTACCAATTTGGTTTGAAACTGTCTCATTGCTATTTATCAATAAAATTATGGAAAATAAAATAAAAATAAAAATATAATGCCAAATGTGGTGGTATATGTCTGTAATCCCAGCACTTTCAGAGGATGAGGAAAGAGGTCTGTTCTGAGCTTTAGGCCATGTTGGTGCATAGTAAGTTCAAGGCCAGCTTGATTTACAGGGTCAGAACCAATCTCAAAAAAACAAATGAAGCTGGAGAGATAGCTCAGTGGCCTAAGCACCTGCCTGGCAAGCTCAAGATCTTCAGTTTGATTGCTGGTACCAAAAAAAACAAGGAAGAAGAAAAAAAAAAATGAAAACCCATAAATTTTATATATTGAATATTTCATCATAACTAGAAAAAGAATACCCTAAGAATATAAAATGATTTAACTACTTCAAAAAATAGTTTGGTGATTCCTTAAAGTATTAAGCATAAGCCAATAATCCTACTAGCTACTCAGGAGGCTTGGGCAGGAGGCTCAAAGTTCAAGGCCAACTGGGGCAATTTAGCAAGCAAAATCCTGTTTCAAAAAATGGGATGTAGCTCAGTACAAAGGCCCTAGGTTCAATCCCCAGGATCCCCCCATCCCCACAAAAAAAAGACAGAAAAAAGTCAAGAGCTAGAATAGTTCAAATACACTCCCATTATACTCTGAAATAACATAAATTAAACAGTAAAAACTCAGCATTTATGAAGTTTTCCTGATTTGGTATAAAATATCACTTTAATTTGTACTTCTACCCAATCAAAAAAAAATTTCAATGTGTTTAATTTTTTTGAAAACTATAAAATATAGCATGTCTTGGGCCAGGGATATCACTCAGTAGTACAGTGCCTGCCTGGTA